TCTGATCTTCCTAACAAAGCAGTTCAAAGGATAAGTCTGAGAAGAATGTGACGGTCATTCTGAAGAGCGTACCAAGGAAATTATTAAGAATATTCTAAGAGAAGTTCATAGAGAAAAAGTGAGACAAACTTATGCCAATTCTTGGAAATTATTACCAGTTTGAGGGAATTGTGGAATCATAGAGCGATTTATAAAAGATAATGCTAAGCACTCTTAGAATGTTATAAGTTTGGATATTATCAAGATTCAAGAATTCAGAATAAAAGTATGATGAAACTCAAGGATGATTAAAATTGAAATGAAGTAAGTCTGTAAATCAAGTAAATTCAGACTAACAAAAAAAATCATAATCCCAGGAAAAATATAAATTCCAGAATTAAGAATCCTTTCAAGATCCTTAGACTTCAAAAATGACGCTTTCAGACTTTCATTTTAGTTATGTAATAATATTATTCTTTGGCATAAAGTTATTTGTAATGGTCATGTGGAGTTACTCGTAGTTTAGGTAAACTGTGTGTGAGTACCACGATGTTAAGCTTTCATTCTCACTTCAACCAGGAGAATTTTAGTTTAAAATAAAATTGCCTACTGGTCCACCGAGTGTTGTGATGTCAAGAATGAAATTGGAAGTCTGATACTTTTCTTAACTTTTGGATGATTTTAGCAATGCTAGCAAGTTGGCTTTATATATTTTTTTAAACATGGCTTGCATAAACATTATGGTAGACACATTGACACATCACTTTGATTTCAGTAGCATTATGTTAAAAACAGGATTTTTGGAGCATTCCAGATTTATCCAGATTTTATATTTAGACTGGTCCAGATTTTTCAGAAAATGACCTGGCAACGCTGATCACAAGTCCAATGAAATTCAGCGAAATTTTATGGTTTTCAGGACAGTTTCATTTGTTTCAGGAGAATTGATAGAAATTTAGGGAAACTCGGAAAACATCAGTGCAAAATCAATTCATTTCCAGGATATTATTGAAACTTTAAAGAAGTTTCGAGAAGCAAAGGGAATTTTCGAAAACTTCAGCAAAGTTCTACGAGGTTTATGCCAATTTTGAAAATGTAAACTAAGTTACATGAGTTATTAGAAAATTGAGAAAACGATTTAAGGAAGCTCCGTTCTTTTCAACTACAGTTTCGAGAACTTTTATAAAATAATAAAAATATCGGGAAGATGACAGAACTTCAATGCTGATGTTCCATCAATTTCAAGATTATTGTAAGAGAACTTAAGCACCCAAGCAGCACAAAGCTGTGGTAGAAAGTTGCAGCAACTTGATCGTGACTCAATTAAGTCATATAAAAGTTGCCTGAACCGTTTTGCGGTAAGTGTGCTGCTAGGGAAATTCCGAAATCTTCAAGAAAGTCCAGTGACCTTCTAAGTAGATTGAATATTTTCCCGTAGTTTCATTGAAGCTCCGAGTACTCCGAGAATAATTAGAGAACTTATAAACAGTCCCATTATCTTCGGGAAAATTTCAAGAACTTTCAAGGAGTTCCGATAAATTATGGGAGTGCATTTCAGGAATGTTTCGAAAACTTCAGGGACCTTGCGAGGTATTGAGGGATATTTTATGAATATCAGGGAAACTGCTGGATCATTAGAGTATGTAAGAGACTTCAGGGAATATTGTGCTAATATCCCTATCTCCTTGAAGTTTCTTACGGCTGTTCCGTAAGCCCTCTGTCATCCGAAGTCCAATTCTAGATAGAGCTAGAATTAGGGCGTAACAGCCTTTGTAAACAATGACTTCTCATGTTGATTTCTCGAAATTCAAGGCACACCTACACAAACCAACATCTCCATCGGGTAGGAAAAGTCTTCCTCTACTCGATGGCGATGTCGATTTGCCAGGGCCAGCCATGACTTCCGAGAAATCATCGAGAGAAGTCATTGTTTACAAAAGCTGTTACGCCCCAATTCTAGCTCCATCTAGAATTAAACTTGTACCGGATATATCTATCGAATTATGGAAGTTTTTCTATAAGTCATTCTCCGTTGGTTTTGTTCCGACTTCTATCCAGCTTTCCATGCTCGGTAATGGCGGCCTGTTTCTATGAATAAATATATCCTTCACTGTGCTTTTTGACACTAGCTGGAGGGCGTATGTTGTTCCATTTTCTTCTGTTCCTGGGAGAGGGAAAGGGAGGGGTCAAAATCCGAACCTCCAGATAGTGTCAAAAAACACAGTGAAGGATACATTTATTCATACAAACAGGTCGTCATTACCGAGCATGGAAAGCTGGATAGGAAGGTTTCTACGAGCTTCTTCTGACATCCCCTGGAAATGGCTAATCATGGAATTTGCTTCCGATTTCCGAAGCTATTCTGTCTTCCTCTGCATGTGTTATGAGATTTTTTTTTTTCGAATGAATAGTTAATTTTTTACCAGAAGTTTCTCAATATTTGTCTTGGAAGTTCCCCTCTATGTTTTTTTCAGAAGCTAATACAAAGAATTCGCAAAAATTTGTTCGGACATCTCCTGGAAAGTAAGTTTTCCATTCTTAGCCAAAATTTTGAATTTCCACCTTCAAAATCGACATCAATATTAAATTAATTAAAATTGTAAATGTCGATAAATACCGGTTTTTCTAAACATTTGATCAATCTGGCAACGCTGGTTTTGAGGTATAATGGGTGACATTCGGGTACAGATGGGTGCTATTTCCCAAATAAGTTTTCAACTATTTTTTTAGGTTCTATCATGTATTTTGGGGAGAATCGGGCAAAATAGACTATTTTTTTAAGCATTGCACAGTATGAAATTGGTGACATTCGATTACAATAGATGGGTGGTTTGTTGGAGTTTTTCCCTGGTGCAAAATAACTTTTCAAATGCTTAACTTCTATCATGTACCTATTTGGGGAGAGTTGGGCTAAGTTGTCCAATTTTTGAAGTCTGCAGTGTTTGAAATGGGTGACATTTTATTCCCCTGATATTTTTAAAATGTATTGGAGCTATTTGAGTTAATAATCCTGTTCCTGAGATCTGCACAACAGGGATCATCTCCAATCGATTCCTTGGGTATATGTATAGCCTTCAAACTAGCCCCATCTAATTAAGTACCGTGGACCCCCGCTAATCTGAACGCCGCTTTATATGAATCGAGCTCATTTTTTTCACTTCTAGTAACCCTATCAGCATCAGAAATGCATGTTTCTGGTAGCCTTATTCGCTGTTTTGTTTTGATTCTGCGATCCGTTTCGCAATGTTCCATTTCGCTTTCCTCTATTCCATATGCTGAATGATGTTTGAGCCATTTTTAGTTTGCACGGCGTCCAGATTAGTGGGGTTCAAATTAAAAACGGTCAGATTCCCGGTGATCCACGGTACGATTACAAGCCCGTTGGACCGTGACTTATAGATTGACGCTGTTTTGAGTATTGACAGCATCGTTGCTCACCCGCATCAATTATAACCATAAGAAGCACCTAACCACCAATTAGGGCTATCATCCCAACTCTATGTGGTATGGTCACACCATGTATGGTATCGTTTGTGTATGGTACCCGTTTATAAGGGCATATCCACTTTTTTGATTTACAGCTTTGATTTATTTGAAATATTCCTTTTCTTGTGTCGTCAGTTTGTATTTCAAATTTTGCCACCTAGCTTAGAGACTGAAAGATAGACAGATACCTAGCTTTAGCGTTAATGATCCGAAAAAAAAACACGTCAAAAACGAAAGTAAAATCACCTTGTTTTAAGCCATCAGCGAAAGCACAGATTTGCATAATGATTCGTTTGAGAGTTAAAACCCATCCATGCCATGAAATGTGACTCCTCATTGACTTTCGTCCATTCACTTGTTTGTTGCTGCTCGTTTTTTTTTTCAAAACAAACCCATATTTGACGGTTGAGCTGGGCTGAGCACAATCATCCAATTCTAAACCCAGAGAAAAAATGATGCTCCTTCACACACTGTTCGAAACCGAACGAAAGTGTGCTTCTACGTCGAACAGTGGGTACTTTGTAGTTCCACCAAGGGAAAAAAAAACTATCTAAGCATCACTCTTGTTTCGTAGTGCATGTGCATGTGGAACGACGACGCTACTAGTTTCCCGCCTTTGGTAGGCACAATTTTTTGTTTGTTTTCAGCGAACAACTATCGTTCGGTCTCGTCCAGCTCGGTGTAATTGCAGTCAACACGGCACCTAGTGCCTCGAGGGTGCGGGTGCTGGCGGCAGCGGGAATCCAACTTCACTTTCTTCAACCGTATTTCCTGGTGTCGTCCGCGTCGTCGTGGTGCAATTGGCAGTGCAAGGTAAAGAAAAATGGCAACCAAGCAGGCGTTTCTGGGGGCGAAATTTCACTCCAGTTTTTGCCCGGAGATCTGGATTTTGCAACAGAGAAAGTGTCTTTTTGCTCTGTTTTGCGTAATGAAAATGTTTGGCTCGCGTTTCTTGTCGACATGAATTTGAAATTCACGCGATCAAAATTCTGACAACGAATTACGCAAAATGCAAAATACCTATGTACGTCGAGCGAAGGGTTAATTGTCATTACCATCACGTATAAAACAAACCCCGAATGCGAAGAAAAGAAATTAAGCAATCCCGTGGAACCGTTACAAGTCGAGTAACGTAGTACATGACAACAATACCTCCAACCACCGCTAGCCGGCACGCTTGTTCACACATATTTTAGTAGGTAATTCTCATCTGTCGGCCTTAACTGCGAGCTGCTTTACATATTTCGTCACTCTCCTCCAGCGTGCGCGGGTTTACAGGTGCCATAATCAGTCAAATTTACATGCATAAATGCACAATTATAACCACCGAAATGAACAAAAAAAAAGTGCATCCACACGTTCGCTTCGGTCACGTCACGTCAGACCTCGACGTCGTCGCCGTCGTTCAAACCGAATCTGGGTTACAATGTGTAACCGTAATTACCGCTCTATGGGCGGTTATCTCAGAAAGCTGCCTTTCAACCACACGACTAACCATAAATTATCTATCTCTCTCTCTCTTTCTCCACTTGCAGAGCTACAAGGAAAAGGACGCCGGCAAGGTGGTGGTCTACACGACCAGCATGGGCATCGTCCGGGAGACGTACACCAAGTGTGCCAACGTGAAGCAGATCCTGCGGACGCTGTTGGTCAAGTTTGAGGAGCGGGACGTGTTCATGAGCAGCGACTACCAGCAGGAGATCAAGGACCGGATGCAGAGCGAAGCGATCCAGGTGCCGCAGGTGTTCGTCGACGGGCAGCATGTGGGGGTGAGTAGGGCGGGATTCGGACGTTGGGGAAATTTGTCCGGATTAATGGCAAAATACGCTGCATAGGGCTTTGAGGTGCGATTATTGACGTTTGACGCACGCACACTAGCGGGTGCATTGCCGTGTAAAGTTGTTTATTATTATTATTAGATCTGTCAAAATGAGTTTGACAGCGATTTGTTCACTAACACGCTCTCACTCATCGCACCAATGCTACCGTTCTTATGAATTCTGACGGTTGAGTTTTGACCGAACTGAGTAGACTCTACCCATTTTTCGGTAGTTTTCAACTAGCGTGTAGATTCGTCGATTGTATGACAAAAGGTCGAAAGACAAAAAGTGGAATGACAAAACGTCGAATGACAAATTGTTGAAAGGACAAAAGGTCGATGATACAAAATGTCGAATGGACAAAAGGTCGAATAGACATATGTCGAATGGAAAAAAGGTCGAATGAAAAAAAAGGTCGAATGGAGAAAAGGTCGAATTAGGAGAAGGGAGTCTAAAAGTCGAATACTTGACAGACTTAAGTTGAATATTGAGTGACTAAACATAGAAACTGAATCATTTCTGTTTATATGAAAGAACGAGCAGTGATATTGATAATGCAGTTCAAGCTTTCAGTGTTAGTGCAGCTATGGATATAGATAGCAAAAAAAACTATACAATCTGCAATAAACTTGTAAACCGTTTAGTTCAAAATCAGCTTGTAAAAATAAACAAAACCAAGTCATTTCAATACTGTTTCGATGGATTCAACCAGAGGTTATAAGAAAGAACGAGAGAGATGAAAAAGAGGAAAAGTAATGATAATGTGCCGCGGATGAAGCTTCCAGAACGCGGCTGCGTGTCCACCCGTTTCATCTACGATGATTACTAAATCTCCCGCTTCAATGTTCTTCACCGCGTCAAACCATTTCGTTCTTTTCGTCAGCGTTGGCAGGTACTCCCAAAATGAATCCAGCCGTCGTTGCCGGATCATCGCCCACGATCGCTTCAAGAGTGTGCTGCCATCCTCGTATTGCACAACTGGCTATTTAACGCCGGACGAGCTCCCTGGAAGGAAGCGGTTGGGAGTAATAGCTTCCTGTTCTACGGAGTCTAGGCTGCGGTCATTGCTGTCTTTACGGATCTTACTATTCGCTCCCAGGCTCCGTTCATCCGGAGAATGAATCGCCAAGATGTTGTTGAACTAGAGAACGTAGATTGCTGTTGATTTGCTCACGTGGTAACCGCTCTGTACCTTGAAAGTTGGTGCCGTTATCGCTACGAATTTCAACGGGAAATTCTCTACGGCACACGCATCGACGAACGCACGCTTCGTAGGTGGTTACTCGCAACTTCCAGGTAGACGGTTATACAAGGAAGAGCGCAATCCACCTTTTTACTTGACTACGTAGCTAAATGAACGAATTGATGATGATAATCTAGAGGCTTGCGGAGCTCGGTCGAGCTTTCCGAATCTTGCAAAGATTGCACCGGGCTGTAACGAAATTCACGAAAGAACGAAGCTTCGGAACATGAAAACGTTGACGAATCTCATTAACTGTGGTCTCATTGTTGCCATGTTTGAGTTGACGATGGTAGTGATCCACCAGAAGCGCTGCCAGTCAATGCTTTCTCGGAAGGATGATGGGATACACATTTCGCTGCCGCGATTCTGCCGTTCATGCGAAGAACTCCATATTCATAATTGGGGTGGCCTCGTAGATATTACTGGCATTTTCTAGCGGCCGTTGTTGCTCTGAAGGGGCAGACAATTCGTAGACAGTGTGATAATCTCGTCAGAAAAAGATTGCCACTGAACTAGCCGGAAAATAGAATTTTCGGCCATGTGCAGTTCTTTTTTCGTCCGAATCTCAGTGTTACGTTGAACATTACGACAGTTGTTGATTAACCAGTGGACGTCGATGTCCACAATACATTCAGGAACGTGTATCTCCCGATGAACGTAACATGCTCGAACAACGTAGTGGTTGAAAACTATTCCCTCAACAGCTCGTGGCAATTCCTTCTCGAACGATCTTGCGTTGGCATTCTTGACGTACTGTGAGATGGCTGGAGAACACGTCGCACCAAATGTAGCAACGTCCATGCGGAATGCTTAAGGTTCTTCCGAAGGGTTCTCACGAAACACGAAACTTTGTGCAGAGCGATCCGCACCTTTCGTACGGACTTAATGGAATATCTCTTTCACATATGCACTTACAGCCACTGCATATTGCTGAAATCGAACAACTACGAAGCACAGTGGAGTCGTCTTCGCAAATGGACTTTTCCTGGCTTGTTCGGGGTGGCTACGACGAGGATCCGCTTCTGTTAATTCCTCCACTGTCGTTCTGTGAGTGTATCCCTTCTGCTGATACACGTCAATCTGTCGCCGGATCCTTAGCCATTCTGCTTGCAAGGCACTGGAGTCGTTTGACTGCCATCGAGCAACTGTCTGGGAATTCGAAGTTATCATATTTCCACAGCAGTCCCGACTCAAACCGCTCGCTGACTTTGGTAGTAGTTTCCAATATTCGTGCAAATCGTTTGTCCTCTTCAGAGAGTACCGCACTTAATGGTTTCATTCCGGCCTCCTAAAAGGAAAAGTACTTCTTCAAGGTTTCGTCGAAAGCCTCTTCTCCCTCAGACTCACAGGGGTGATAGCTGTATTCTGAATGTACACTGTCCTCCATAGACAGACCAGTCTAGCCGCGTCTTGATGGCTGTGGGACCATTATCACCATCCCGAGCTTTTAACGGAAGCGCGAGTCGCAGGTACACGTACACGCTCGCACCTTACGCTTAACTCCACTCATTAGGTTCTGTACAACATCTGGCTGCAGTTTCTTTTGTACGGAAACCCACTTTTTCTTCATGTCTTCCTCTAATTTGACCTCCTTGGAATGCTTCCGTAGTGCCTGCTTCATAATAGTCCAGTATTTTTCGATGGACCTTCATGTCCTTGGGTACGAAAGTGACCCCGTTGGCGTCGTACCACTCCAGGACAACATTTGAATAGTGGCACGAAGCTAGATCCGGCCAGAAGATCGTAGGGTCCTCGGGTACTTCAACAGAGGAAGCAGACGCTTGTTTAGACACTCCTTGAGGTAGATCTCCCCGTTTACAGTCCCGGTAGTCACAAACGGCGCCAAATCATGTATTTCTTGACAAACTTTGAAAGTTTCTGCTTCCTTACTTCCTCTGGAACATCAAACTTGTGCTGGGTGGTGAAAAACAGTAGCCCCGGAAGCTGCCGGAAGTCCGCCTTGATGTAAGTCTCATCATCCATGCTTCGTCAGCATCTGGGTGTACAGTTTCCGTTCCCGTGACTTTCCCACCGTATTTTGCCGTTCGTCACGATTTGGAGCCTTCTGCACTTTGTACGTATGCAGTCCCTACCGGTCCTTGCCTCTCTGAACGAAAGACTTGGACAGATTCAACTTTTTGGCCACATCCCTGACCGAAGCATTGGGATTCCGCTTAAACGCTTTCACGACACGCTTGTGATCCTGATCACTAATAGAACATCCATTCTGACCGCATTTCTCCTTGCATTCGATGCTCAGAGTTTCGTAGTAACGTTTAATCACACGACTCACCGTTGACTGCCCGATTCCGAGTTGTTTTCCGATGTCCCGATGAGAGAGTTGAGGATTTTCCAGGTGCTTGCGCAAAATCAGTTCGCGACGTTGCTTTTCGAGTGACGCCATTTTTTCCAACTTTCCAAAAAACTGACAGCGATAAAAATACAGTGTAAACAATACACTCTAAACTACTTCTAACCAAATTTTCAATAGAAAATACCCAATGGGTAATTTTCTACAGCGTTTTTTTCCGTGATGCAATTTGATGTGGGACACCCTTAACATAAGTTCCTTGAAACTCTCTATACTTCCTTGAAATTACCATTGAGATGTACACGTATTTTCGTCCTGAATTTCCAGAAATCTCACGCTTATAGATTTTAAACTTCTGGACTATCCAGCGGCTACGCTTCACGAAAGATCTCTAGATCTAGCTCTTCGGAGGTACTTGGAACAGGTTTTCTCCAATTCTCCCCACATCTCTGAATTTGTTTTGACTTACGTTAAGTTCTCTGCATATTCCTGAAATTCGGGGAACTTCTTAAAAGTTCCTTCTGTTTTTTGGAAGCTAATGGAACCGTTTTGAATTTCTGGAGAATTTCTGGTTCCATGAAGCTTCTCATATTTTCAAGTTGTTTTAAGAACTTTCATTCCTCAAGCTGTGGGAGCAGAGCGACTTCCACTCAGAACCCGATATAAACCTGTGTGAGTGCTGGGGAGCGCAAATTTCAAATGTTGCATCACTATAATACCCACTTTCCCCTACATTTTCCCCGTTAAAAATCTGCCGGATAGACTTGGATTTATAACGGCCCACTCAAGACCAGTTTGATTACGTAAATAAAATATAATATGATAATGATAATTTATTACAGTAGCTGCCACATTAGACACCTTGTCAGACTCACAGTGAAATACGACTTTCGATTCAATGATCTTGAGTTCAATGTAATAAAAAAAAAAAAAAAAAAACAAAACAAAAACTATCGAAAGGAAATATCGCGTCACTTTTCAATAGGTCCAATCTACATTGATAGATTCTTTTCATCGCTTTCCTCTTTGGATCCCGGCGGATTTCCGGATATTGTCGACACACAAAGACGTCGATTCGACAAAGACGACGGGAAACGTTTTTGTAGCCGAGTTATTTACGACAGAGAAAGATAGCCGATGAAAGGAATCGATCAATGTGCGATTGGTCGATTTGAAAAGTGACGCGAGAAATTAGCTCTATAAACCGGTGCAATAATACCCTTTTGCTTATCACTTTCGATAACTGGTTCGAGGATCAACGACTTGAATCGGTAGCATAGCTCATTTCACCTCCAATAAAACATAAATAATACGATCTGAAGTGTGGTAGGCTCGCCATGTGCCGCTGCCAATCACAACCAGTTTACGCACTTGAGTACATATACAATCATTAAA